TTCTGGAGAAAGAATAAACTTTAAGAGAACAGGGACAAAAAGCTGCAGCAGAGGAGACAGAGAGAGGCATTACTGACATTAGATCTATTATGCAAGTGGTTTTTACAGTGCACTTGGCAGAGATCCAGAGACTGGAAGGTAAAAAAGGGGGATCTGGGAAGGGGAATGTGAAGGAGCCAGGGGTGTGAGGTGTGCAGGGAATGTGTGAGGAAGCAGGGAATGTGCGAGCAGATCCAAGGGCAGTGAGGATGATGGGGGCCCTGGAGCATCTCTCATGTGGACTGGTGAGGGAGCTGGGCTTGTTCAACCTCGAGAAGAGGCAGCTGAGAAGGAGCCCCATCCTTGTTTATAAATATAGAGACAGGAGTGCCAGGAAGATGGAGTTTGGCTCAGATTGGTGATGGTCAATCGCCAGGGCGAGAGAAATGGCAGGAACTGATGAAAAGGAACATTCCACCTGAGCATGAAGAACTTCTTCCCTGCATAGTGACCGAGCATGGGAACAGATTGTCCAGGGAGGGTGTGGAGTCTGTCTCTGGAGACATTCCAGAGCCGTCTGGACACAATCCGGTGCCATGTGCTTTGGAATGACCCTGCCTGAGCAGGGAGATCGGAGCAGATGACCCAGTGTGGTCCCTTTCAACCTGACCCAGTCTTGTGATTCTGTGGGGTGGCTGAGGAACTGGGGGGTGTGAGGGGGTTCGTGGGTTGTGTGAAGAACGGGGGGTTCGTTTGGGAATCTGGGGGTGGGGCTGTGTGTGAGGAACAGGAAGGATGTGAGGGGACCTAGGGGAGTGTGAGGGGTCCGAGTGGACGTGTGAGGTACCAAAGCATTCAAGAGCTCTGGGTGTGTGTGCGAGGGAAACTGGGAGCGTTTATGAGGGTCCCAGGAGGCGTGTGAGAGGTCCGGGGATATGTGCGTGTGAAGAATCAGGAGGTGTCTGAAGAGATCCGGGGGTATGTATGAGGAGTCTGGCGGTGTGTATGAGAGACTGGGGCTGAACTGAAAGGATCTGGGGGTGTATATGGGAGGTCCGGGGTACGTGAGGGTTCCGGGGGTGTCTGAGAGGATCAGGGGGTGCCTGAAGGGTCTCGGAGGCTCCCGAGGGGTCTCGGGGGCTCCCGAGGGGTCCGGGCTCTGTGAGGCACCGCGCGGTTCCGAGCGCCCCCGCGCTCCTCTCGCGAGACGTGGCGGCGGCC